AAACACTCCCCTTTCCGGGCTCATAAGAAGCCAGGCAATGTAGAGGGGCACTCTGTGGTGTTCTCTTGTCCCAGGGACACAAGATCAAAGCAGAAACATCTTTTCTCCCACCTTTCCCCTCTCTGCCCAATATATCCCTAAATATGGCCCAGGTGTGTCCATAATTTCCTCATCTTTTAAATTTTATATTTAAAATAAGACACCACTTGGGATGTCTTCATCCTATATGAAAATTCCTGGGTTTGAGTTCCAACTCTACTTCCAACCCGGGTTCCATCAGAATCCAGAAGGCACAGATGACAGCTCAAGCACTTGGAAAAAAAACCACAGCCATGGATTGTGTTTCAGATTAAGGTCCAGGCTCCTGGTTTCCACCTGCACTGACACAGTTGTTATGGCCATTTGGGAAGGGAATCAACAAAGCAAGATCTTTGGGCCCTGGCAGCGTGGCCTAGCGGCTAAAGTCCTCGCCCTGAACGCCCCGGGATCCCATATGGGCACCAGTTCTAATCCCAGCAACTCCACTTCCCATCCAGCTCCCTGCTTGTGGCCCGGGAAAGCAGTCGAGGACGGCCCAAAGCCTTGGGACCCTGCACCCGTGTGGGATACCTGGAAGAGGGTCCTGGTTCCCAGCTTTGGAACAGGGCAGCAACCGCCGTTGCGGTCACTTGGGGAGTGAATCATCGGACGGAAGATCTTCCTCTCTGTCTCTCCTCCTCTCTGTATATCTGACTTTCCAATAAATAAATAAATCTTTAAAAAAAAAAGCAATATCTCTTTTTTTTTTCTGTATCTATCTGCCTTTTCAGATAAATAAGTAATAAAATATATAAAAATATTCAGAAACCTCAACTTTTCCTTATGGAGACAAAGAGCAAATAAGTTACAAAGAAAAATGTATCTTTCAAGGCACTTTGAATAAGTTCAAAGACAAGCTGGCACCGTGGCTCAACAGGCTATCCTCTACCTTCAAGCCTAGAGCATTCCATATGGGTGCCAGTTTGTGTCCTTAGCTACCCAACTTCCAATAAACAAGTTTTCCTCAAGTGAAAAATCTATACTTTTATTTCTTTTCTTCAGAGCATTGTTTTGTTATAGCAAAGGAAGAAAAGAAGGGAGAATTAAGGTTGGACTCTTTTTTTGCCTCCTTATGCTTATAAAAAGTCACAACCAGTTCTAATCTTTCAGCTTTCTAAGGAAGGCAGAATGGTATCAAAAAGAAACAAAAGATGTGAAAGGCAGAGGAAGCCCTGCAGGCATTCTGGATATCTGCTCAACTATCCCGAAGAAGAGCAGAGGAGAGGCATTCCAGCAAAGGTGATACAAAGTACACAGCTTTGCACAAAGTATTATACAAATACATGGAAAATCCAATAACAAGAAACATTCTAAGAATATTCCCTTTCCCCAGATTCTCAAGTATTCCCAAAGCAGAAGGTGTGCTCTGTAATTACGTGCTTAGCAAACACAGGTACCTTTTGAGGCTTCCAAAAGGAGACGTCAGGACACAGAGGAAAGCTGTGCTGAGGTTTCCCAGGAATCACGGGGTTCTCTCCAAGCACACAGCTAGGCTAGGGCAACACTGCAGTACAACTGCTATGATGCTGGCATCCCAGCAAAGGTGTGAATCACACCTGCGTAGCTTCCTGCTAACACACCTGGGAAGACAGGCAGACTGTACAGGCAGACTGTACAGGCAGAGTATACTTGGGCCCCTGCTATCCATGTGAAAGACCAGGATGGAATTTCAGTTCCCGGCAGCAGCCTCTCCAAACCCTGGCTGCTGTGACCATTTGAGGAGAGCATTAGTGGATAGAAGAAACTGTTTGTCAGTCTTTCAAATAAATCAATCTATTTGAAGAAAAAAAAAAAAAAAAGAAGAAAAAGGGGATGGTCCCTGGCACAGTGGCTTAACAGGTTAATTTTCCAGCTGTCACTACGGGCATCTCATATGAGCTCCACAGGTTTGTGTCCTGCTGCTGCACTTCTGATGCAGCTCCCTGCTTACAGCCTGCAAGGTAGAGAAGGCTCAAGTCCTTGGGCTCCTGCACCTACACAAGAGAACCAAAGGAAGCTCCCGGCTCCTGACTTCAGATCAAGGCAACCATTTGGGGAGTGAACCAGCCAAAGGAGACCTCTGTCTCTTCTCTCCATAAACCTGCCTTTCAAATAAAAATAAGTAATTATCTAAAAAAAAGAGAGAGAGAGTTTATGCTTGATAATCAAAATGCTTGATAATATTAGGTTTCTATATAGCATGTAATCTCCTGGTTGCTCATTCTGAAGGCACTTTCAAAAATTTATGAAAAAATGAAATAAATTTTTAAAAAATTCATGGAAATGCCTATTATGAAAAACCTGTAAGAACATTAAAAATTTTTGCACTGAGGTCAGTTTCTTTTAGTTCAATTTTTGAAGTATCCTCACATAATCAACTGAAAGGCCACCTAAAAAAAAGATCACTAATCCTGAACTTTTTACTTCAGCTTATTTTGAAATAGATTTTTCTCAGACTATTGAAAAGATGCTCCGGATTCTGTCAACACACACCCTGGGAAGCAAGTGCTTGGGCTCCTGCCCCTCAAGCGGGACACCTGCACAGAGGTTCAAGGTCCTGAGTAAGGCTGGTCCAGTTGTGAACATCTGGAGAATAAACCAACAGATGAAAGATCTCTATTTTGTCTCTCTTTTAAGCATATAAAATTAAACTTTAAAAAAAGAAATGCTGGATTACAGAATAAATACATACCTATTATATTCTCAAGTGATCAGGAATAGTATTCTATATTTTATAGGAAAGTTCACATTTTTAAGGAAATTGTTTACTTAAAAATTTATAAAAATAAGTGACTAAAAGCCTACTTGGCTTTGATTCAAATAAGACCAGATTCATAAAGCTACAGCTACCTAATTCACTGAGTGGTCAAAACACAGCAATATACAAAAAAAAAAAAAAAAAAAACCAGAGTCCTTTAGTCAGTAATAGTTTTCCAGGAAAAACAGGGCAGTTTTGGACAGTCACAAAACAATGTACAATCACCTAAATATTGTCAAATGAAGTGGTAAAAGCCAAGGCATCAATAAAAATTAGATTTACCATTTACTTCCAAGACTGTTACTGGAGAAGCTACAGGGAAAAAGAATCTCGACTCAGCAGCATCTTGACAGGCACATCCTATCTTTCCATTCCACATGGCTAATGATGAAGAAAAATAGGAAGTCCTGAGACAGAAGGGTAGGAAGAATAGAGGCAAAAAGCTTCTATCTCCAAATATGGTACACAGCAGAATTGCAAAACTAAAACTCAACCTGGTGTAAGACTTGAGGATTTTTAAGAGGATATATTTCCTTATAAAATACTACAAATGAAGCACGCAGGTATTTCTGGCTAATAAGAAATAAAATTTCACCTATAGGAATGATTCCTTAAAGAAGTCTGTATTCAACCGTATTCAACCAAGTCTTGAGGGCCCCAAAGTGGAGAGAAGGCATCAGAACAGTATCAACACATATGGTAGGATTGCTCAGTAAGTACATGAGCCATCTGGAGGCTCTTTAAATGCTAAAGGGGTTTTTACAAAAAATAACACTTGCTGGAGTATCAAATATTCTTGCTTAAATGCTTTAATTTCCTGAGACTGTTTTGGTACATATTTAAGGTGAATACTATGATGTATATAACAAAATGATTATTAAAGTGAGACAAATCATTCACCATCTCCCAGCTGCCCAGTTTTCTCCCATGAGGCAACAATAGCTACAATCTGCTCATTCAGCATAAAAGCCTAAAGACTAACTAGGCATTTGGAATATCAGCTAAGATGCTTCTGTGCCACTTCAGAGTACCGGGGTGTGACCCCCACCTCCACCTCCTGATTCCAGCTCTCTGGGAGACAGCAGGGATGGCTCAGGTAACTGGGGTCTGGCTACAAACGTGGGGGACCTGGACTGAGTTCCTAGCTTCCAGCTTCTTGCTTTGGCCAGCTATTTCAGACATCTGGGGAGTGAATCTGCAGATGGGAATTCTGTTTCTCTCTGTATATCTCTCAAATAAATTAAATGTCAGTGGGAAAATGGAATTTAAAGTAAGTTTAGCTTTCTTAAAATCTTGTGTACAGTACACTATTGTTGACTATATTTCTCATATATATTAGATCTTCCTATTAGTCCATTCCATGTATTTACTATCTTGCATCCTTTCACTTACATTTGCCCATTTTCTTCCCCTATATGTAGTCCTTCTCTAACTAAAAGGCTGTCAGTGGATCACCATACTTTTTAAAGGCAAATGAAAACACTGTATTTTTCCAAAGGAACTACAACCATCCTGCAACACAAGGAACTTTGAGTAACCATACCCGTTTCCAATTCTGTCCCTGATGCTTTCATATTCCAAACATTCTACCCTTTTGTCTGCACTAACAAGGTTTTGCAGAGGGAAATTGTTTATTGACTGGGTTGTTTGAAATTTCTTCATAGTACAGACACTGGGAAGAGTCCTTCTTTCTTGTGTTAACTCACTGAGAACACTAGTACTGCGGGCTAATTTTGTTATTAAACACAGAAGTAAAACATTGTGGTGGATTAGAACCCACAGAAGTTTATTAGGACATAGGGTTAAGATAGAAGAAAAGATTGAGCTCCACTGAGCTCAGCTGGTTTCAGGGTTCTCTCCAAGCTCTGAACCCGAGACAGGACCATACCATCGCCACCCTCACTGCAGAAACAACTTCAGGCACACACCTAAACAGTTGTCCGTAACTTTGTAAAAAACTTCCAGACTTCCTTCCAAATTTCCACTAAAGCATCATACACAAGAGTTTCTCTTTTGTTCAGCTCTGGCTCTCAGAGTCATAAAACATACCCACTTCTTCGTAAAATTTGCTAAAAGACTTACTCTTTGTTATGTGGCAGCACGATATTAAAAAAGCACCCTGATAAAATTCTAAGCCATACCTGAATATGATTCAGAAAACAAGTCCACACACCAGGTACTCTACCTGTTCAGGCTTCCAGGAGTTCTCAAATTGCCCCAGCTTAATGCCGATCTACTTAGTAGATAGGGACTCACACACTGCTTGACACACTGTTGACAAGCAGACCTAAATAACTCTAACAATGACATCCCAGGAAATGACTGCGCACCCGACTCATCACTGAGCACGCACTGGGCCCTGGGCCTGTGTTCACCAAGCTCAGAGGGAACACAGTCAACAGGAAGAGGAAGGCATTAAAGCCACTTCTTCAGTCTGAAATTCACAGCATCTTGAGGAAAAAGTGTTTATAAAGTAAGATTCTCAGAATAAGAAGGCACCTTAAGCACTACCTGGCAGTGTTTCAGCATGTGCTGCCCCATAAACAGTCATTAGTTCCATGTGACTACAGAGCATTTTTGAATTGTGCTGCAAAACAGATGTAATAGATCTAGCAAAAAAAAAAAAAAGTTAAATAGCCTATTAACTGATTGCAAGTAAAATAATATGTAGGCTTAAATCCAATATACTAAAATTAGTTTCACCTGGGACTTTGCATGTTATTGTGTAAATACTGGAAAACTTGGATTTCTTACATGATCCTTCCATAAACCTACATTCTTCATTTTAACAGCAAACTAGAATTATCTCTTAGCAGCCATTATTTAAAAGCTGAAAGAAAAAGCACTTTATCTTTTCTATCAATTTCCTTGATTTAATAAGGAAAGTAATTTTAGAAGATTATGAAAATTCTAAGCAAAACTTATTCTGGCACCCAAAAAAAAAGAACTACCTCAAAAAGGTAAAAATAGCACCAGATGCAGAAATCATACCTTTTGAAGTAAGACAGAAAATCCACAAACCAAGCTTTTATCATAAAGCAGATCTAATGCCAACTATATGGTTTATCTTTAAAGGAGAGCAAGCATTTCTTTCACTTTCAGCACTCACAAAAATATCCATAATATAAAAGCATATGTATAAAATTGCATTATTCAAGCACATCCAACCACAAACCAGTGAACTTTTTAAAAACTGAAATTATTATAACCTAATATTCTTTTCCAAAACCGAAGAAAAACACAGCCACTCAAAAGCAAAATTCAAAAACAAACTTAGTTTCTTCAGGAGTAAGCTAATTATCCTCCACAGACATTATGAAATAACAAAGTATACTTTATAATAAGCATTCTTTTACCACAATGGTTTTTTTAAAGTCTTTTTAAAGTAAAAAACTCAATGACATTTCTATGAGTAATACATGTCTTCCCTATACCGCAAGACATCACCCTGCTTTACTTGATTCTAAAACAGGCCTCCAGGGCTCTTGTGGGTGGTGGGAAATCAGTGTATTTCTGAATGTATACAATGTTTTCTAAGGTCAGTGGGCAAGATAGCTCAGTAAATGACAGGGGAGGGGGCAGCTTTCTCAGGGATTGCAGAGAATGTCCAAGCCACCTGGAGAAAACCGCCAATGAAGAAACTGGACAAGGAATCTAACATCTAGGAGCGCATGAGTCGCCAAGGCTTGATCAGACACCTTCCTTGGTGTCCTAACAAATTTAGGATTAAAGGGAAAGAAAGTGCAGCAGCCATACTTGGCCTTGGATTCCTTATCTGAACTTTTATCAGCTGCGTACCCTCTTCAGACTATCTGATAACATTCCTTCGAAGCCCTTCCTGGTGCCTGGAAACACCAAGCTCAATTACCTCCCAGCAAAGTAAGCAGAAAGGATTGTGCGTATCTAAGGCGGCCAGCCTATCGGCGGCTTGGTGCAAAGGATAATGGCTAACGCTCGAGTATGATCCTCCAACGCAAATCACTCTGAGAGAATCAGGTCTTCCCTCACACTGTCCAATAGGCTCAAAGACTGCCAAAATTTCCATTAGAGCACCCTATTTTTAGAGTCTTGAGAACGGGTCTTGAAAATTGCATTCCACAGTACATGTGTTTGACTAAGTTTATGCACGGAACAACAACACAAGCATCCTAGAGTCTTTAGATGTAGGTTTTGATTTTTTTTATCTGATTTTTTTTTAACCCTAAATTTCAGCCTTTCAAACATGTAAATGAAAATTCAAGGTAAATATTGGCCCAGAGGAGAAACGAGAGAGAGAGATACTAGGCGGTTCCTAACAACCCAAGTGATGGCGGGGGCGGGGGAACCAGGTATAGGGAGAGAATTAAAAAAAAAAAAAAAAAAACCACCCACAAGGGTGGAGAGACCGCGGCTGCGGGCACCAGGACGGAGAAGGATTGAAGCAAGGTGGAAGCCGCAGGCAGCTCTGCGAGCAGAGCCAGGAGCTCCTGTGGGAGCCACGACCCCTGGGGAAGGGGTGACCAGCGCGATGCAGTGGGGACCCCAAGGGGACCGCAGCACAGGAGCGCGGAGAGGGGGCGGAGAGGAGCGAAGCCGGCTGCAGCTCCCCACAGGACAGAGGCGGAGGACAGCGCAGGGGGACGCTTGCCCTCCCGGCCGCGAGCCGGCGGGTGCCCGGCACCCCCGCTCCGGGTCTCCTCACCTGAGAATCCGAGGCGGTCCCAAGGGCTTACCGCCGGCTGCCGGCTCTGTCTCCAGCCCCCTTCGCCGACATGGCGGCCGCCGAGCTGTCACGGACGCCGCTTGGGTCTCCCGCGGATCGGGCAGCCAGCAGACACCGCTGGCCTTTCCGCCCCGCCTCCCTCAGCGCACCCCTCGGGGCTGGCCGGCAGGCGGCTGGAGGCCCGCGGCCGCCGAGCATAGAGCGCAGGCGGCTAGAGAGGAAGTGCAGAGGGCGCGCAACCATAGAGTGCGAGTCCGGACACACCCGGATGGGCTGTCTCTCTGCCTCCGTCCACTGACAAGCCTCGGGAGACTAAGCCGGGGCGGGAAGCGGAAGTGAGGGAGCAAGCGCGCAGGGGCTGCGGCTCGCATGCGCAGTAGCTGGTGTTTACTTCCGCCAGGCCTCGGCTGGCTTCGCGGAGATGTTGCACGTGGGATACCCTGCATGGGGTTCCTCGGTAGAGTGACGGTGGGTCTTAGGTGGGGGAACGTTAGCGAAGACGATGTGGGTCCCGGTGGCGGGGCTTCCTTGCCGGCTGGCGTCCTCAGCCCTGGCCGGCATCGATCGACTTTGCGTGTGGAAGACTGGAGCGATGACGCGTGGACACCCGCCACGCCGTGCTGTGTCGGAATCTTCGCCGCAGCCTTTGCCTTGTCTTGAGTTCGGGGACTCGGCTCCCTGGGTGTCCAAGCACCGCCTGGAGCCTAAACGTTATGTAACCAGTCGGAGACTGGCTGAGACCTTGGCACAAATCCTGCGGAGGAATCAGAAAGACCCTCGGCATCTCTTGCTGGAGTGCAATCCTGGTGAGTAGCTAGCTGCATTGCATTTTCTGGAATGTCCATCACTTGGTCAGACTTTGGTAGCCTGCCTGGATAGAGTGCTGTTCGAAGAGACTTCCCTTCAGGAAGTTTAGTTAGGGACAATGCAACGTAACGCCTTGAGCTGTATCGGTAATGGCACCAAATACTTCTGTGGCAGGCTGCACTTGGGACAATATTTTTCTAAGATAGACTCAGGTTCGCTCTCTTCCCATGTGGCTGCAAGTGCTGTCGCCACCCCTGACAGTTTTATCCTATCCTTTCTTGCACCCTCTTTAGACCACAGCAGGATGTTGAGAACCCAAGATTTATAGACTTTCTGAAGAACAGTTTTTGTAGCACCACTTCCTCCCCTGAGACGTCGTTTTTGTTGATGCTTGATGTGATCTGGGTAGTTATGAATGAGGAAGTGGGAGGCGCCAGGCCATCTTTTCTGTTGCTGTTTTCCTCTGAGATGAAACATTGTGACTAAGATTGCAAGTCTTTGGATTGGAAGCAGAACTAAACTGCACTTGCCTGGCCAGGCCCAGCACGGTATCCTAGTGGTTAAATCCTTGCCTTGCATGCACCAGGATCCCATATGGGCGCCGGTTCTAATCCCGGCAGCCCTGCCTCCCATCCAGCTGCCTGCTTGTGATATGGGAAAGCAGTTGAGAACAGCCCAAAGCCTTGGGACCCTGCACCCTTGTGGGTGACCCAGAAGAGGCTCCGGGTTCCTGGCTTCAGATCAGCTCAGCTCTGGCCATTGCAGCCACTTGGGGAGTGAATGGAAAATCACTTGGGGAGGAGAATGTCTCTCCTCCTCTCTGTATAGCTGACTTTCAAATTTAAAAAAAATAATAAATCTTTAAAAAGTTATAAATAAGCAAACTGCTAATCACTTGGAATGTTGCAGTCAAGAGATTATATCTAATTTCTACTTTCCTTACCTGTAAAAGAATACAGAGTGAGACCTCGTTTGGGAGTGTCAGTGAGAGTGAGATAATGCATGTGTAATACCTAGTCTTTGATATTCAGAGAGATTATGTTGTGACTTGTGCTCATAAACATTTCCTTCCGTTTCTATCCTAGGTCCTGGAGTCCTGACTCAGGCCTTACTTGAAACTGGTGCCAAAGTGGTTGCCCTTGAAAGCGACAGAAATTTCATTCCCCACTTAGAGGTATAGTTCTGGTTTCTGAAAGTAATTTGTTTCCAATCAGCAGCCTTAGGGCGATTTAGAGAAGTAGAATTAAGTACATAGTTATAAGATCTCTTCAAGGGCCTTGTCATTAATATTCTGTTAACCCTAAGACATTGCAGGTCTTCAGTGTTTGTTGAATGAAGATGGAGAGGTACAAGATGTGTTCTCTAGGTCTAGCTGTCACTGGGGTTTTGAGACACTTTGAGATACCAAGTACTTCAACATGAAGGATAGGTGAAACCCCCAGAAGCAGTGTGAGGACTGAAGTCCAACCTCCGCTGCCCTCCTGTCTCCTGTCCCGTTCTCCCCTCAAGGTGGTCACGGACACCAGAGTGCCTCTTCACTTAGGGGTGATAGAGAAACAAGAGCTGTCTTTCCCCCAATGCAGGCCATAAAACCTAAAAATACTACTCTCCTTTCATCTTTCTGTGTAAGAGTCTGCTATTTAAAAATTCCAGGGCCTAGCATGATAGCCTAGTGGCTAAATCCTCACTTGGCATGCACCAGGATCCCATATGAGTGCCAGTTCACATCCCAACTGTGCCACTTCCCATCCAGCTCCCTGCTTGTGGCCTGGGAAAGCAGTCAAGGGCTGCCCAGAGCCTTGGGACCCTGTGCCCGCACAAGAGACCCAGAAGAGGCTCCTGGCTTCAGATTGGCTCAGCTCCAGCTGTTGAGGCATGAACCAGCAGATGCAAGATCTTTTGTCTGTTCTGTCTCTGTATCTGCCTTTCCAATAAAAATAAATTTTAAAAAATACCTTACCTGTCTTAGTAGAGTGGGATAGTAGAGTATGAAGCTCCTTGCCTTTTGCACCCCAGAGGAAGCAGTCCCACAGAAGAAGAGTATGAATAGACGCAAGCTTCCCCCGTTTGTCCTTGTTAGATTAGATCGTAGCCTCTTACTGGAATTGCAGATCTGATTTAATTACAATTAGAAGCTATTGCTTGAATATTTTGAAGTAAGTAGATAGGCAAAAGCAGTCGAGGTCCCCACCTTGGCAGGTTTCTCCAGGTTTTCTTCTCCCAGAGCCCCCCCGAAAGCTGCAGCAGGCTCGGACTTACATGAAGATTGCTTTGCTTGTTGTTCTGCCCACATGGACAGTAATCTACATGAGATAACTGAGGTCACCCTCGTCGCCAATTCCCGTAACACAGGGAGGAGATAATAGCTTACAGCAGTTGCCTAGAAAGTTGAGAGCATATCCAATTACATGAACAACAGCAACAAGAAAAAGAAGGCTGAGATATTAAACAAATACGGTTATTTAATATTTAGATTGACAACTTTTTTTCCTGGTTGTAGAATGCATACTTTTATGATCTCAGTCATTGAACAAACATAAATCCCGGAGAGCCTGGTGAATATTGTTGCCCTTTCCACAATGTCTCCTTGTCTCGGTCCCATTCTGGTTGTGGGGACCTCGTTTGCCTTTGACGAAAAGTGGCTCTAGGAGCTGATGGGCTGTTAGCCGCTTCACACCTCAGCACCTTGAACAGTGCATGGTCACGGCCGCTTGTTCTGCCTGTTAGCAGCCTACCATGGGGTGCACACCACAGAGACTGGCAGTGGGCCTGCCACTGTTGCCAAAGTTAGTACCACTACCTCGGTCACTGTCCTTGTGTAAATCTAGATCAGACTCTTGTCCAGTCCCATTTCTTCACTCTTGGTTATTCATTAAATCTAAACATGCAAATAGACAGTTTTCTCTGGTCTTTGAATCTTCCTTCTGAAGTCCCCTGCGTCATGTAAAACCTTGGGTAGACGAACTGAAGTTTTCCATATATGTGTCTTTTGTTATGGGAGTGTCACTTATGTTGGGGTATAACACCTTTCTTCCCCCTAGATTCTGCAGCAAATTGTATGGGTGATTGGGGGCTTGGTGTGTAACTGGGGTCCCTAGGTGTGTTTCCCCTCTCTGCTAGGCTATGCTCTGCCGCTGCTGCCTGTGAAATTAGAATCTAGGTGGGGCTAGTGTTAAAATTAGCTTAAGGGGACTATGCAAGCTTTGGATATTGAATTTTGGTATGAACAGATACCATTGCATAGAGCACAGGTGTTATCAACAAGGATTTTTTGGTGACTCTGCTTCTAATATACCAGACAAGTTTGCGTAGTAAGTCAAGAGTGGAAATTCTTGGTATCATCAGCCAGGTTTTGTTGGGGATTTTTTTGTGTTTGTTTGTTTGTTTGTTTTTTCCCTCTTTCTCTTTCCTTTATAAATCTGTAGAATCAATTTCAGAAACTTTTTTTCTATACCAGCTTCCAAAGCCTTGTAAGACAATTTTATTGGAACATGCAAAATAAAAACAATAAATTGTGAAAATGCCTTTCAAGTCCAACCATTTGGTTTTTTTAAGGAAATTAAAACTAAGCATTATGGGCCCGGCATGATAGCGTAATGGTTAAGGTCCTCGCCTTGAACGCACCAGGATCCCATATGGGTACCGGTTCTAACCCTGGCAGCTCCACTTCCCATCCATCTTCCCTCCTTGTGGCCTGGGAAAGCAGTGGATGACAGCCCAAGGCTCTGGGACCCTGCACCCTTGTGGGAGACCCAGAAGAAGTTCTGACTCCTGGCTTAAGATTGGTGCAGCACTGGCCATTGCGGCTACTTGGGGAGTGAATCATCTGACGGAAGATCTTTCTCTCTCTCCTCCTCTCTGTACATCTGTCTTTCCAACAAAATAAATAAATCTTAAAAAAAAAAAAAACAAAAAACTAAGCATTACTGTTTCTGTAGATCTAGCTACTTGGAAAGATTCCAAAGTGATAACCCTGTTGCTGAACTGATTGCAGATATGCTGGTTTAAATACATGAAAGAAAAATGAATACATTAAATTGTTGAAAGACAATGTGATTTGGTGAGCGTAGTGAAAATTAAATTGGGGCTGGTGCCGTGGCAAAGCAGATGAAGCTACTGTGACACTGACATCCCGTATTGGACCACATCCGGTCCAGCTTCCTGCTAATGGCCTGAGAAAAGAGCGGATGGTCAGATAGTTGGAAACCTTCACCCACGTGGGAGACATGGCTGAAGCTCCTAACTCCCGGGGTACAGCCTACTCCACAGGTGCTGTTGCATCCAACTGAGAAGTGAACCAGTGGAAAGAGGATATCTTCTCAGACAAATAAATCTTATTAAAAGAAAAAGTGAAGTACATGAAAAACTAAGGGAGATATGTTGAATGACCGACACAGTATTATTGTTAAGTTCATTTTGTGAATCACTCACTGGATTCCTCCTAGAAAAAAAGTGATTCTCTTGAATACACCTGCCCTTTGTTTTAATATTTCAGTTGCTTTTGTCTACCGTGAAACATGTTTTTTTCTTTTTATCACCGCAGCAGGTGGCTCACAGGTGTGCGTGAACCCACCTGAGGTTTCAGAATCTTTGAGTAGTGCTTCAGGAAACCTCTGCTAAGCAATTAGAGATTCGTATGAAGAAGTCTTTTGAACCATTGAAACCTTTCAGATAAAGTTTTACAAGGATAAGAATTTCCTGACACCAGTGCCCTTGGCATGGGCATCAGCATGGGCGCTGGTCTTAGTCCCTAGCACATCCACTTCCCCTCCAGCTCCCTGCAGATGATCAGGGCAGGCAGTGGAGCATGGTTCCTGCACTCAGGTGGGGCTTGAAGGAAGCTCCTGGCTCCTGGCTTTAGCCTAGCCTGGCCCAGCTCCAGCCGTCTGGGGAATGAACCTACAAAGGAGGATTTCGCTATTTCTGTAATTCTGCCTTTCAAATAATAAGTCAATTAAATCATTCCGTAAAAAGTTTATTGAACATCATTTTTGCTTTTAGAATGCATGGGGGTTACTTTTCCTTGGTAGTAATGTACTTTCTCCACTTTCTAGACATTAATTGAGTTCCAATTTCTTTGTTAAATTTTATGATGTTAGTGCTATTTTTTATACCATTATGAGATAGAATTATTTCTTGAATTGTATGTTTTTGTATTTATTCTTTTTAAGTTGATCTTTGAGGTTATATATATTCTGCAGTTACATATATATTCTGGATTTTTTAAAGTATTCTCTGTCTGTTTAGTCTTTAGGAAATAATCTGAATGGAAAACTAGAAGTGGTTCACTGTGACTTCTTCAAGTTGGATCCCAGAAATTGTGGACTGGTAAAACCTCCCATTATGCTTTCACAAGAGCTTTTTCAGAGTTTGGGAATAAAAGCGCTTCCTTGGTCAGCAGGTAATTTTTGCAAGTCCCTAAAAGCAAATACCTTCTAATCTGCCAGTTCTGTTTAGCAGTCTTCCTGATTTGTTGACAGGATCTGAGTACAATTTAGTTTGTTCAGTTTATGGACAATGCTCTTACATTGAACTTGACAGCATTCTGCTTTTGTCTCCCCAAAGGACGAGTTCCATGTTAAGGAAAAATGCAGAGACTCGGTTATAATTAAACTTAAGAAATTAATATAGTTTGTTAATTCACTTTGTCTCATTAAAACACAGTCCTAACGAAAATGTTAACTTAATGTGGATTTTTTTTTTTTTATTCCTAACAGGTAACCCCTTAAAAATAATTGGAATCTTCCCAGTTAAAAATGAAAGAAAGGTGCTTTGGAAACTTTTATATGACCTGTATTCCTGCACTTCTATATATAGGCATGGACGAATAGAACTAAATATGTTTATTAGTGAAAAAGAGTACAAGGTAGGTTATTAACAAAGTATCTATTGGGTAATTTTTGTTTTGTTTTGTTTTGTTTTTTGACTTAGGTTTAATCTCTGTCTTGTTAATTTGGACTGGACATTTTAAGGGTTTTTTTGTTTTCTTAAATTGTGGTAAAATATGCATACCATAAGATGGACATTTCAAACGTTTTTCGAGATATAGCTCAGTGGAATTAGGTAAACCTACATAGTGCAGCCATTACCACCAGTGAGCCCCAAAACCATTTCAGCATTCTTTATTAAAACTCTATCTAATTCCTCCGATTGTGGTCACCATTATTCTCCTTTCTGTCTTTATTAATTTGACTGTCCTAGGTACCGTCTGTCAGTAGAATAATGTATTTGGCTCTTTGTGTCTGACTTGTTTCACTTAGTATAGTGTTTCCATGTTATAGGATATGTGGTAATTTTGTGTCACTCTAAGGCTGAATAATACTCCCTTGTATACCACAGTTTGTGTATCCATTTTATCATTGGACATTTGGTTTCTTCTACTTTGTGTATTGTGAAAAATGCTACCATGAATATTAATTTGGAAATATCTCTTCAGGTCCCTCTTTTCAGCCCTTTAGGGTATACCTAGAAGTAGAATTACCAGATCATGTGGTAATTCTACTTTTAATTTTTTTCAGGAATTGGAATACCACTTTGTATAATATATGTAGTATTTTGTATTCCAACAAATAGTACACAGTGATTTCAATCTCTACCTTTTTTTTTTAAAGATTTATTTATTTATTGGAAAGTCAGATATACAGAGAGGAGGAGAGACAGTGAGGAAGATCTTCCGTCCGTTGATTCACTCCCCAAGTGAGCGCAATGGCCGATGCTATACTGATCCAGAGCCAGGATCCAGGAACTTCTTCCGGGTCTCCCGCACAGGTGCAGGTTCCCAAAGTCTTGGGCCGTCCTTGACTGCTTTCCCAGGACACAAGCAGGGAGCTGGATGGGAAGTGGAGCTGCTGGGATTAGAACCAGGGCCCATATGGAATCCTGGTGCGTTCAAGACAAGGATTTTAGCCGCTAGGCCACGCTGCCAGGCCCAGTCTCTACCTTTTCTTACCAATACTTTTTTTTTTTTTTCAGAATACTCAACCTTATGATATGAAGTAATATTTCACTGATTTCAACTTAGATTTACATTTTCATAATAGTCAATGTTGAGCATCTTTTCATGTGTCTATTAACCATTTATAAATCTTTAGAGATATGTTGATGATGTTTATTTTCTTAAAGAGTTACAGAAAAAAACATGGGTAGAGATTTTTATGCTGCTGGTTTGCTGGTTAACTCTCCAAATGGCCACAACAGCTGGAGCTGGGCCTATTCAGAGCCGGAAACTTCTTCCAGGTGTTTCGAGTGGGTGTAGGGGCCCCAAGACTTGAGCCATTTTTCTCTGCTTTCCCAGGCTGTAAGCAAGGAAGTGGATCAGAAGAGGAACTTCTGGGACATGGGCCTGCATCTAAATGAGATGCCGGCACCACATTTGAAGGCTTAGTCTACTATACCAGGCACCATCTGCAACCATCATGTTTTTGTTTTCTTTTGCTCTTGCTATGTAGGTCTTGATCAATTTTAAGTTAAATTTCATATTTCGGGCCCGGCACGATGGTGCAAGTGGTTAAGGTCCTCACCTTGCATGGCCGGGATCCCATATGGGCGCCGGTTCTATCCCAGCAGCCCCGCTTCCCTTCCAGCTCCCTGCCTGTGGCCCGGGAAAGCAGTCGAGGACGGCCCAAGGCTTTGGGACCCTGCACCTGCGTGGGAGACCCGGAAGAGGCTCCTGGCTTCGGATTGGCATAGTATCGGCCATTGCGCTCACTTGGGGAGTGAATCATCAGACGGAAGATCTTCCTCTCTGTCTCTCCTCTCTGTATATCCGCCTTTCCAATTAAAAAAATAATAAAAATAAATCTTTAAAAAAAATTTTCATATTTGATTTCAGATAAACTACTTCATTTTTTACATGTAGGTATCTAGTTTTTCCCAGTACCATTGATTGAACAAACAAATTCGCTCCTTTGGGTGGTTTTGACACCTTTGTCAAAAATCCCTTAACATTGAATATCAAGCAGTTGAACTTGTCAGGATCACTGTCTCATGTAGGGATACCTGCGTTTACATTTAAAAAAACAATCATTTGGCTATATGAGTATGTTTTGAGGGTCTTTTTATAGGCAGTATAAAAATATTTAGTGGGGTAAGTTCAGCCTGTGAGCCTACAGGCTGAAAAAGCCCATGAAATCATTTGGTCTGGGATTGGCACTGTGGGGTAGCACATGAAGACACCAGCTGCAGTGCCAGTTTGAGTCCCAGCTATTCTGTTTGCTATCCAGCTCCCTGCCTCTGTGCCTGCACATGGCCCAAGCGCTTGCGCTGCTGTCACTCACCTGGGAGGCCAGGATGGAGTCCGAGTGCTGCCTTTGGCTAGACCCACCCGTGGCCACCAGGGCCTTATGGGAAGTGCGCCATTTCTCTCTCCTTTCTCTCTATACTTCTGCCTTTTAGAGACTAAGTAGTCCATTTTAAAAAGGAAAAATAAATAAATAAATCATTTGGCCTTTCACCAACAAGGCTATCGCTGATGAGATCTAAGATTGAATAAATATCTTGCCAGTGAGAGAGTAACCTGTGCTGCTTGTACCTGGAAGCTTTTGTGTGCAATTACCTCCCTTTGTATTCGCTTGCTGTTCACTGAGGTAGTATCTCGTCCTTCAAGGCTCAGCCTTAGCCACTTTGGGCTCTGAATTTAATAGAGTACCGGAAAAGTACTTCACACACACATGCCCTTTTCCACAATATGTGCTAGATATGATTAATTATTTATATAATTGCCTATTATTTTTCTGCTCTGCTATGTCATAGAATCCATAGCACAGAAATTGCTTTTTTTACTTATACATAACTATATATATATATATTTTTTTTTTTAATTGCAAAGTCAGATATACAGAGAGAGAGAAAGAGAGGAAGATCTTCCTTCCATTAATTATTCCCCAGGTGGCTGCAGTGGCCGGAGCTGAGCCAATCCAAAGCCAAGAGCCAGGAGCTTCATCAAGGTCTCCCACAAGGGTGCAAGGTTCCAAGGCTTTGGGTTGTCCTCGACTTCCTTTCCAGGTCACAGGCAGGGAGCTGGATGGGAAACAGGACTGCAGGAACAAGAACCGGCACCAGTATTGGATTCTGGTGCACACAAGGCAGGATGCTTGCTGCTAGGCTACTGGGCTGGGCCCTCTGTTTCATTTTATTAATGAAAACATTCCCTGTTGGACCACACAATTAACAGAAATCAGTCTGAAATGCACTAAATTTTAAGTGTATTGTATGGTATCTTTGCAAAGCAGGAGTTTTAAAAGACTTTGAAATAAAGATTTTGCATTTAAGTCTAGTTTTCTTAAAATTCTAGATGCTATTTGGTTATTACTAATAAAAACAAATGTTTGATTTATTATACTTGTATGATCTATGTAATCTTTTATATCTTTCTCTACTAGAAATTAATGGCAAATCCCAGAAATCCAAGCTCCTATCAAGTGTTAAGTGTGCTCTGGCAAGTAGCGTGTGAGATTAAGGTTCTACACATGGTAAGTAAAGCTCATGTCATTTTTAGCAGAGCCTGTTTTCGGGGAGCATGGGTGTTTGGTGCAGCAGTTAAGCTGCCAGCTCCCACTTGGATGTGACATGTGAATATCTTAACTGCCAGACTCACTTTGGGGATTTTGGTCTTTTAACTACATCAGTTATGATTTAATAAACCCATTCTAATTTTGAAACTTTTTCTTTATAGAATTATTTTTCAGAATTTTAGGTTTTAGAACTGTTGGGTTACTTTTTAAAAGTGCTTCATGTATAACATTGTTGGTGCAAAGTTAATAATTGCTAACCTGAGATGTCTGTTTGTATTTGTCCTGTACCACATTCAATTCAGTTTGATTAAAAGGCTTTTCTAATATGATAGGATGAAAAAAGCCTTAGTGTTGATCTAGTAACCCTTAAGCTACTGATTCTGACTATAATATGGAAATGTTAACTGTTAAAATCATCTTTCTGGCAAAATTACATGAAGAGTAACTCTCCGTTATTGAAGTAGCAGAGTTGCTGATAATCAGGGTAGAAATTTGGCCCTTTATTTCTTGATGTGAAATGAGAGTGGGAGTTTAGGTTGACAGGATGCTTGTGTCCTGTAATGGAGGGCCTGGGTTGGATTCCCAATTCTGGACACTAGTGCAGGTCCTGAGGGGCAGCAGGGATGACTGAAGCCACTTGGTTCCTGCCACTCAACATGCATGGTGACCTGGATTGAGTTCCCCAGCTTTGGAAAGTGACCCTTCAGAGGGAAATCTGTCCCTTGTCTCTCTGCCTGTTAAATAAATAAATAGGTTTTATTATGTCAAGTTAGACATAATAAAATCATGTAACCTGGATTTAGCTCATAAGCAGGCTGTCTTTGAAGGTAGTAATAACATCAGACACTTTGAACAAACAGTGGTAAAAGAAGTATTCTGGGGCTCGGTGCAGTAACCTAGCGGCCAAAGTCCTTGCCTTGCACATGTCAGGATGTTATATGGGCACTGGTTGGTATCCTGGCTGCTTTGCTTCCCATCCAGCTTCCTGCTTGTGCCCTGGGAAAGCAGTGGAGGACGGCCCAAAGCCTTGGGACCCTGCGTTCTCGTGGGAGACCCTGAAGAGGCTCCTGACTCCTGGCTTCAAATCAGCTCAGCTCCGGCTGTTGCAGTCATTTGGGGAGTCATCAAACAAAAGTTCTTCCTCTCTGTCCCTCTTCCTATATATGACTTTCCAATAAAAAGGTATTAAAAAAAAAATATTTTGAGAAAAGAAGTATTCTGAGTTTGATTTTGTTTTTTCTCCCTCAAGGAACCTTGGTCATCATTTGATGTGTATATCCAAAATGGGCAGCTGGAAATGCCAAAGCGTAAGGTGAGAAAATACCTTTTTCTTCGTCCTCATTAATGAAACCACTTTTATTTTCCTTGAGTTTATCTGGTTTTCTGTATTTATTGTGAGTTTGGATTTTGTTTGTTTGTTTGTATATATGGGTGGATTTTGCAGAGCGACAAGTAGACAAAAGTCCCCATCCATTGTTTCACTCTCCAGATGTCCCCACAGCTGCAGGTGGGCAAGCCCAAATCAGGGAGTCAAGAATTCAGTCAACTCAGTCCAGGTCTCCCAGTTGGGTCCCAGAGAGGCCAGCACCTTGCTGCCTCCTGTCACGTGCATGAGCATGAAGCTTGAGTCAGAAGTGAAGCCAGGGTTCAGTTCCAGGCACTCCGACATGGGATGTGGGTTTCCCCATCAGCAGCTTAACTCATAGGCCAGATGCCATCCCTGAACTTTTAGTTTTAAAGTGAAAATGTTTTTAAGTGTATCTTACTAGTTTTAATAATGGTATTGTTTTGAAAGAGAAATGTATCTGTCAACAATTCTGCAATGTAGTAGTAGGCTTAAAGAATATCACTTTCCTTTTCATCTTTTTAAATGGTGATACATTTCAAATTTAGGAATTATAATCATTTTCATATTCAGCTAGGGTTTTTTTTAAAGATTTATTTTATTTTTATTGCAAAGTCAGGTATACAGAGAGGAGGAGAGACAGAGAGGAAGATCTTCTGTCCGATGATTCACTCCCCAGATGACTGCAACAGCTGGTGCTGTGCCTATCTGGAGCCAGGAGCTCTTCCAGGTCTTCCACACGGATGCAGGGTCCCAAGGGTTTGGGCCGTCCAGGCCACAAGCAGGGAGCTGGATGGGAAGTGGGGCTGCCGGGATTAGGACCGGCGCCCACATATGGGATCCCGGTGCATTCAAGACAAGGACTTTAGCTTGCTAGGCCATTGCGCCAGGCCCATAATCAGCTAGTTTTAACTAAAAGTGAATTCTTGCCTCATTGGTCAGCTGGAAATTTGTAGTGCCGCTATTTCTTAGATAGTTGAATTCACCAGTAGCTGTGCAACTTTTACCCAAGGATTAGGAGTTTTATTTTTGTTTTGGTTTTCCCCCATCTGAAATACTGAAGTGGTCTTCGATTTAGTTTATCTAGGGGCTGTTTGTGAGATTCTAATAAATTAGCTGAAATTTCAAAAATATTTTTAGACTCAAGAAGCTCTACTTGTAGGACAGAATGAAAATGTTGGGCTAATTTCAATGTATCACTTCAATCTGAAGATACCACTTATTTCTTCACTTAGACTTGAAACCAAAGGAAAGGGCAAAATTGTTCGTTTAGAAATGGTCTGATGTCAAAATGACCAGTTTCCATGCTGATTTTTATTCTGTTTATAAGATGTGAGCTATATTGTCTCAAAGGTTAGATTAGGAGGATGGGCATTGAGCCTTAGCAGGTAAGCGGCTCGTATTTGGCATGTTCATTGTGCCCCAGTGAGTTAGTGCACTGCTTAATCACCAACATCCCATGTGGAGTGCCTATTTCCAGTTCTGACTACTCTTGTTTTTTTTTCCCCTAAACGGAATAATTTATTTTATTTTATGTTTTATTTTATTTCTATTTGAAAGGCAGAGTTTAAAGAGAGAAAGGAAAGACAGATCTTTCCTCTCCTGGTTCACTTCCCAAGTGGCTGCAAAGTGCCACTAGCCCCCTCCCTGTCTCCCACATGGGTGCAAGGGCCCAACAACATGAGGCATCCTCTGCTGCTTTCACAGGCCATGAGCAAGAAGCTGGATCAGAAGCAGAATAGCTGGGACTTAAACCAGAAGCAAAGCAGAAGTTTAGCTTACCACACTACAGCACCGGCCCTGCTCTGCACTGCTAACCCAGCTTCCTGCTAATGTGCTAGGGAGGCAGTGGTTGATAGCCCAAGTCCTTGAGTTCCTGTCACACACGTGGGAGGCCCAGATAAAGTTCCTGTTTCCTGATTTCAGCTGGCCTAGCCTTGACTGCAGACATTTGGAGAGTAAACCTGTGGGTGGAAGATCTCTTTGTCATCTTGTCTTAAAAAATTAATAACTCTTTAAAAACTAGACTATCCTGTATCAGAATTCTTGGGATATGATTCTTAACTCCTAACTCCTGCTTCCTACTAACACAGACTCCAGGAAACAGGGATAATAGCTCAACTAATGGGGTTCTTGCCATGTTGACTGTTGTGGGTATTTGGAAATTGAACCAGTGAGTAGAAGCTCTTGCTGTCTTTCAAGTAAATAAACAAAAGACCAGAAAGCAAGTTTTTAAGCAAATAGAATAGAAAAAAGTTGGGGGGGAGGTTAGATAATATCAATAGAGACTTTCCCAGTTATCTTCCAGAATGAACAGACAAATGCAAGACTTTCACATTCTTTGCAATGACAAGATCTAAAGCTAAGAATGTATTTTAGGACAAATTTAATGTCATTTTTGGTAAAGATTTTATTCAATTACTGAAAGGTAGAGTGAAAGGGAATGGGAGACAGAAAAATCTTCCTTCAGTGCAGACAACTCCAAGAAAAGGCCCAGGTAAAGAGTGGCTATGGCTCTCTGATGATTGTGCCTTCCAACACATAGCTTGAAGGAACAAATGAACCAGTGTCATGCTCTGACAATCATTTATGACTAACACAGTTTATTTTCCCTTCTCTCCAGGATTCATTAGAGCTAATACAACAGAACATGTATTTTGTTCAAATGACTCCTCGTCGAAATTTATTTACCGAAAATTTAACTCCTATTAACTATGATGTATTTTTTCATATGGTGAAGCACTGTTTTGGGAAGCGCAGTGCAAGGCTAATAGAACATTTAAAGTAAGTAAAAAATAATAAAATTAACAATAATCGCAGTAACAATGCAAGAATTATTTTTTATGAACGTGTGTTTTTTATGTTTTGGTGAAGAGGGTGAGGTTAGCATGTTTTCACTCCTGTGCTTCTTGCTGGTATTTCCTTCTTCCTGGTTTTCCACGTTGTCTGCACTGAGCTTCATTTTTTTCTTTCATAAAGCAACCACTGATACCTCTTAAGTTGCTGTTTCTTTCTCAAAGTATAGGCCAGATTTAACTCCAGGAGGGACTAGATGCTTACCACTAGCAGGAACAGAGAAAGTCAATATTTTTGGTGCCATATCCACCGTCCTCATCTTGCCATTGCCTCTCTGCAGTGGTTCTGTTTCCTAGGCAAGATCGTCTTGGTCTTGTCCTAGACCAAGTTTTTATATTCCCATCTAAAGCTTTATACAAATTATAGGTGTTACTACCTGATTTATATTTATGTAAGATATAGTTTTTACATAGGGTTGATGCATACAGTTCAATAGGTTGTTCATTTTACCTTATTGCCCGTTGAGTCATTTCAGGTATTGTCAAAGGATGGGTTAAATGTTAAAATAAGCAGTAAATGTGATCATTTATTGTATAACTTTAAACTATTGGCTGAATAATAGTTACAAAAACAAATGTTAAAAATGGTAGACAAGGCAAGAAAGGTTACATGTTGTCTTCTCACCACCTTCTGGTGGCAGCTATTTTAAATGAGAATAGCAAGAACATAAAAGGAATAAATATGGTAAGCCATCATGCAGAATGTTAAACGTTCCCCTGGATATCTCTGTGGATTGGCCAAGGTTATATTTAATATCAAAAAGTGCTATTAATCATAAGATGGCCCAAGGACTTAGACACTGCATCCAGGTGAGAGACTGAAGGAAGCTTCTGGCTCCTGGTTCCTGGCTTCAGCCCAGCCCAGGCTGGCCATTGCCATTGGCTGTGATGTTAATCAATGCATGGAGCATCACTGCATCTGCCTCTCATTGTCTCTTTCTTTTTCTGTAAGTGTACCTTCCAGATAAATAAATCTTGGAAAAAAAAAGAGCTGAAAGTCTTTTCCACCAAAGTATTCTATTAATTCGTTACTTGTCAGAATCTTATTTATGGTTGCTTGCTAGGCTAATATATAAAAAGTAATGATGTTTCCTACTTTAAAATCCGCTCACCAATGATTATGTAAAAATATGAAGAATGATTCCCTGTTTGAAAACTGCTAAACAGAACAGAAATTGTCTGTACATATTAAACTTTTTTTCTTTGTAAAGATTCACTTATTTTTATTGGAAAGACAAATTTTCAGAAAGAGAAGAAGATACAGAAAGATCTTCCATCTGCTACTTCACTCCCCAAGTGGCCGCAACAGCCGAAGCTGAGCTGGTCTGGAGCTAGGAGCCTCTCTTTTGGGCCTCCCATGCGGGTTCAAGGTCCTAAGGCTTTGGGCCATCCTCTCCTGCTTTCCCAGGCCACAAGCAAGGAACTAAATAGGACATACAGCAGCCAGGACACAAACTGGCTCGCATAAAGGATCCCGGCACTAGCAAGGGGAGGATTAGCCCTTTGAGCCATTGTGCCAAGCCTGGCAGAATATTTTGAAAGCATAGCTCTTAAATTAGATCCTTATGTAGGGTTGATTACATGTTAAATCTCAAGTATTCTTTTTTGTTACAGTCTAGCTGTAAAACTTTAGAAACAAGCAAAACTGTAGGTAGTATATGGAAGCTTTTTAACTAAAGAAGATGAATTATGTATAAATTAGGCATTTTAAATTTTTTTTTAGAAGCCATATCCGTCCTAATGGATAGTTATTATCCAGAAAATTCAGTTTACTTGTGTTTATTTTTCAGGTCATTGAGTCCAGTTGATGCAATGGATATATTGATGCAAACAAGAAAGAATGAAACAGTGAAGATAACTGAAATGTATCCTCAAGACTTTAAACGCCTTTTTGAAACTATAGAGTGTTCCAAAGATTATGGCTATAAATGGCTATATGATGACAGCATGGAAGACACAGTGATAGGAAACTAGACCGTAAAGACATTAGCTGGAACAGATTGTTCATGTGGAAATTACAACATAAGTGAAAAAGAACTGAGTTTGGAAACCTTACGTCCTTCCAACACAAAGAAAGCTATTGTTTTGCATAAACGAGGCCCATCACTCTGAAGCTAATCCCGCAGGACTGTTGGATAAAACAGTGACTGCTGTGTTACTTCACAACTGAATAAAATGGAAACTTCGGTTAACTGGGTTGGTTCTTCAATCAGTTGAATTTGTTTTGTTTTAAATCTCTCTACTGTAAACATACTGGTAGTTGGGGAGTATTGCCAGTTAAGATATCGTTTACTTTTAAAATTTTGGCCCAATATTGTTCTTTGGATAATTTAAATATTCTACTTTTCTGTGTTGTTGCATTTTACATCCTCCTGTGTGGAGGAGACGGGAGGAGTTGCGCTTACTGACTTAGAAAACAAATCAAGTTGATATCAGGGGTTTCTTTTACCTCTCAGTTGGAATGTACTCTCAGGTACTGTATGATGAAATTATTTTAATTTTAATATAATTATTTAAAGTTAAAATATTTAAGTCATAAGATCTTAGTAGTGAAACTGTCTTGGTTTCTAAGGACTTAATGATAAATTAAGTAGACCCAAATGTATTCACTTTTCATTCTGTCATGTGTTACCAGTGTACATTGAATGAATAACTTTGTAAGTCACAAGTTATCTCTTTTGTTTGTTGGTTTTCTTTAAATATTTACTTGAGGGAGAGATGGAGGTGTCTTCCATTCACTCCCCAGTGACTGCAACAGCCAGGGCTGGGCCAAGCCAAAGCTGGAGCCAGGAGCTTCTTCCAGTCTCCCACATGGGTGCTGACCCCCAAGCTGGATCGGAAGTGGAGCAGCCAGGACACAAGCAAGAACCCATATGAGATCCTGGGCTTAGAGTCGAGTATTAGCTAATCAAGCCATGGCACCAGATCTAAAAATAAAAAAATCTTAAGGGGTGGAAAAAAAAGATTGTTTATCTGATATTATATCTTTCCATGAACCTAAATGTAATATACATATGTGTGTTTATTTTTAAAGCTTTATTTATGTTTATTGGAAAGACAGATCAGATTTACAGAGAGAATGACAAAGAAAAGATCTTCCATCCACTGGTTCACTCCCCATATGGCCACCAAGGCTTTGGACCATCCTCTACTGCTTTCCTAGGCCGTAAGCAGGGAGCTGGATGGGAAGTGGAGCTGCCAGGATTAGAACCGGCACCCATATAGAATCCCAGCTTGTGCAAGGTGAGCACGTCAGCCACTAGGCCCTTCTTTTTAATTTTTTTTTCAATGGTACAATTCCTTAGACTTCTCCTTCCAACCTCAACCTGTTTCTTTTATACTCAAACTATTTCCCAGTTTCCAAACTGTCATTGCGTTACAGTTAAATCCTATTAGACATTTTGACTCCTTTCTTTTATAATTTCCATCTTCCCAATTTCATTTTCTTCTGTTTCCTCCCTGGTTATGTGCCTTGAGCCTAGATTTCAGCTTTACATCTAGTATCACTACCTTGTTTATTTCTGTAAAATATCTGTTTCACTATAGGTGCTGTATAAAAACATAGTTAATATGTAGGAAGCTTCGGTTTTCAGTGGGTAATAATGGCATTTATTTAATATGGTTATTGTCTAAAGGAGTAAATAAGTTAAAAGCCTAGCAGAGCAGAAGTTTCAAATGTGTGTATTATGCGTTATCTTCCAATACTCTTTTTTTCTTAAGGATTTAGTTATTTTTATTGGAAAATCAGATACACAGAAAGGAGGAGAGACAGAGTAGATCATCCACACACTGATCCACTTCCCAAGTGATGGCAACAGCAAGAGCTGAGCCAATCCAAAGCTAGGAGCCTGGAGCCTCCCCTTGGTCTCCCACACAGGTGCTGGGCCCCAAGACTTTTGGCTGTCCTCGACTGCTTTCCCAGGCCGCAAGCAGGGAGCTGGATGGGAAGCAGGGCCTCCAGGACCAGAACCAGCACTCGGAATGGGATGCTGCCACGTGCAAGGTGAGGACTCTAGTCCCTAGGCCCCTGCACTGTGCCCCAATACTCCCATTTTTTTAAAAAAGATATTTTCTGCTGATTCACTCCCCAGTTGCCTGGGACATCACAATTGAGGACTGGAACTAAATTCAGTACTCCCACAATGGTAGCAGGGACTGGAGTGCTCAAGCTATCTCCTGTCTCAGGGTGTCCTCCAACAAGAAACAAGAATGAAGAAAATGAGTGTGGGCATCCAACAGTGCTGTAGTCAGAGGGGTCTCATGACTACCTCCTTCTAAATAGCTAACCGGAAGTCTCTGGTGCTTTTCTCATTCCACAAACCAGAAGTAAAAGAAAAAAAAAAAAACCTACAAAATTTGTAGTTTTCCCCTCACTAAAAAGTAAACAAATGTAATATATATTAATGGGTTTTGGAGATAGTAATCAGATGACCCCAAGATTTTGGAATAAATGTTTCTCACTTTCTTGCAGGTTTTTAAAAACCAGGTGAAATCCAGAATTCTCAGGGCTTCATAAGAGGTTAACTAAAAGTTGACGATTTTAATAACAATGGGAGATCAAGTCCATACCAAAAAAAAAGCAAGGACCCAGCGCAGTAACCTAGTGACTGAAGTCCTCACCTACACAAGCTGGTATCCCATATGGGCACCAGTTCTAATCCCAGTGGCCTTGCTTCCCATACAGCTCCCTGCTTATGACCTGGAAAAGCAGTCGAGAATGGCCCAATATCTTGGGGCCCTGCACCCATGTAAGAGACCTAGAAGAGGCTCTGGGCTCCTGGCTTCAGATTACCGCAGCTCTAGCTGTTGTGGCCACTTAGGTAGTAAATCAACGAATGGAAGATCTTCCTCTCTGTATGTCTGAATTTCCAATGAAAATTATAAATAAGTCAAAAAAAGGAAAAGCCAAAAGACAGAATGCTGCTGGTTGGCTGGGTAGTTTTCTTGCAATAACCTTGGGTTATCACAGAGTTGGACATGGATTCGTCCATAATTTGGGGGTGATGAGACATTTAAATGTGTTACTAAATTTTTTAAAATTTTATTTTTGATGATGTTTGCATAGATGATAATGGTGGGGGGTCAAGGATTAGGGGAAAGTGGGTAAGACCATTGTTTGCAGATTTTCTTTTACTTGTTCCTATATTAGGGAGAAGGGGAGAGATAAGGAGAGAAGCTACAACCAGCCTCCCAACCACTTCAGTACCTATGAATGGAAATGGCCACCCAGTGTCATCTCAGTGTCCCCGAGAGGGAGCATGCTCAGAGAGTTCTGCTTAGGTGGTTTCAATAGTTCTGAACTGTGGATCTCACCAATTCAGAGATGAGTAAATCCTTCCAAGGTCCATTGGCTGACACAGTCCACCTTAGGGTCTCCATTCACCCAAATATTTGTTGTCAATGCTTGACAAGGGAAGTTGACTGTTTTTTCTGCCCTCCTCATCTGTGATGGAACCAGATGTCTTCTACAGGTTCCAATGGACTACCATGTCCTCCATATGCATTTGGGCATGATGTCCACTGCTCCGTCCAAGCAACTGAGGAGGCTTAGTTCTGACACAGGCGATATACAATCAGTCTACAGACATGCTATTCTCCCCATGGTTGGAGTTCTGAGTACAGTGCTTCAGTTGAGGGGTTCCCAGAGAAACTCATCTGAAGTGATCCCAGAACTAACTCTGTGTGCTTGCCAATACAGGTCCAGCTCAGTGCAGCATCCACATTCACCTACACACACCTTGGTAGTTGTAATTGCTGGGTCACTTCTGTTTCCAGGCCTCTTACACAAACTAATGGATGCTGCAGCCCAACCCAACCCTGCCCACTGCAGTCATATCCAGCCTAGATTGCCACCCCATTCCAGCTTTTGCACTCACCAGTGGGAACCACAAGCCAACTGGGACGGCCCCTTAGCTCCCAACCAGGCCTGATCCCAGTCACTGATCTTGTGCATACCAGTGGTTGCTCTGACCCAGTTCAGCAGAGCCCTTCCTCTATTGGCTTTTGCCATCCAAAACTGTAGCCTGATCTGGCCTAGCCCATCCCCAGTCCCAAGTGCTGTAGCCTAGCCTGGCCCTGCCTGGTTCACCACCCTTCAGAACCAATGCACACACTTACTGACAAGTGAAACTACCTTGCCTGGCCTAGCCAACACCCATGCCCGAATCATATGTTCACCAGTGGGAGCTACATCCCACTAAGAGAGTTTCCAACATTCCCCCACCAGGCCCACTCCCAGACAGATCTCATATGTTTTGGCAGGTTTTAGGCCCTTTCCTGGCATAATCTGTCACAGCCTTGGTATGAGCTAGTGGATATTGTGGCCTGGCCCAGCCTACCCCACACCTTCTATTCTTATGTATACCTGCAGGTGCTGCAGCCTCGACCAGGCTGGCCTGTTTCCAACCCCAGTACCCATGAGTGTCAGAGGGTTCCATGGTCATGCCTAGCTCAGCCCATCACTACCCTCCAGCTCTTGAGCAAACCAGCAGGTATTGCAGTTTCACATGGGTAGGCCCACATATCTCCCACAGAATCTGCTGCCAGACCTGGTTCTCTTGTGTGCTGGTTAGTGTCATAGCCTAACCTAGCATTATCCACCCTCTGTTCTGACACTCACTGTTGGGTCCTGTGATCTAGCCATGCCAGATAGGCCTGCAGCCTTAGCTATAACATGCTAGTTGGTGGTATTGGCGATGGTTGTTGCAAACTAGCCCAATTCAGGTCTCCCACTTAGGTGGATACAACAGTCTGATCCAGAAAGTTCCTCCAACTTCCCCCCTCCAAACTGCACAGTTTCAGCCCCCTCTTTTCTGCAAGTATAGTGGCCTTGTTGATGAAAATCCCCCAGAAGTCATTCCTCACCTGCAACATACTCCCTCAGCAGTCCTTGCTCCTTCACATCTCCATACTCCCTTTCCTGAGCAATCCATAGTCCCATAGTCCCTGTGAATGGGAGCATGTAGATTCCCTAAGCCTGTTCCCAAGCCAGTCTTCTGGTGGGATGATATGCTGACCTGGAGCTCTGCCTGCCCGCCAGAGACCTAAATTCATAGACAGGTTCCCAGATCTGGTCCTCTGACACATGTGCAGGTCTGGGACACAAGTGCATGCACAAGATCCCATGGGCACACCACACTAGCCTGAGGCCTTCCTCCACACACACCATGTTACCCAAATATGTGCACAATCTCGGACCCATTCCCGCATCCCCCAGCACTAGTCCCCAGACCACAGAACTCATGGAAGAGTGAAGCCAGCAGAAGGAAGCCACTGGCGGCTTCAGCTCACAAAGGCAGAAGAAAGCGACCAGCGGCTCTGAATTGTTAAGAATTGAATCAACTGAAGAAGACTTTCAGGGGGATTAATTCATGCTTTTAGGAAAATGGGTGAGAAGCACATTTAGAGTGTTGGGATGCAGTGATTAAGCTGCTGCTGCCATTGACACTGGCATCCCACACACATTCCAGTTGGAGTCCCAGCTGCTCCATTTCCAGTCCTGCTCTCTGTAAGTGGGCCTGGGGAAACAACACAAGATGACACAGGTAGATATTTGGATACGATATCTAGATGGAGCTCCTGGCTCCTGGTTTTGACCTGGCCCAGCCCAGGCCTTGCAGCCTTATAGGGAGTGAAACGGTGGATGACTCCCTCTCTAATTCACCTTTC